AGGCAGATTAGAGGGCAGCTGGGGCACCTTTCAACACAGCGATTCTTTTAATGTTTTTTTCTAAAGTCAACTATAGAGCTTGGGGGGCCAGCATCTCGATCCCTTCAGTGCTTCACCATGGGGCACTGTGCCTTGTCCCCGGATCCTAACCCAGGGCTGTGTACTGCATGAGCAGCTACTTGGCATTCCGTGGGAGGCAGTGGAAGGGTGGGGAGAGAAAGGGCTGCATGCAAATTTCATTTCTGAGCCACTGGCGCTGTTTCAAGTGCCAGGAGCCTCGGAGCCCCTTCTCAGCATTACATATGTAACAGCCTCATTGAACTTGACATGTCAAATTCAGGCCATTTGTGCAAAATCTCCCTTTAATAATACCGTTTCATTTCACTCAAATGAGACTTGAATGCATGTAAAATGGAAAAGGATATTTAAGCGCTAACATTAGGCAGATGTCTTGCCAGAGGCCGATTGAATATATGAGATTTTGAAGTGGTTAACACGATTTCGCTGCTCCCTCTTAGAATATGTCACCTGCCGGGCGTTTCTTCCCCCTCCTCCCTCCCTTTTTAAGCGAAGGATATAAATTGAAAGAAAACAAAACTACAAGCTTCGGCTTGGAGGGGATTAACTCCGTCCACGCTGGCATGTCCTTCTGAAAAACAAACAAGCTTCTATCTTACTTTTACAGAGCAGTTTTGGAAATAGATGCAACATTTTGTGGCAAGGTAGGTGCTAGGCACTGCTTTTAAATTAAAGAATATTAGAAATATCATTGGAGGCAATATAGTCCAATCCCCTGCCCCAGCAAGATTCCTTCAGACTATCCTTCAGCTCTGGATAGTTGCCTATCTAGTTTCTTTTTAGGGCTTATTCAGCCACTTCCCCTCTATTGGGCAATACTAAAGCAGGCTACCAATGTCACATGCGCTTCACTCATTGTTCAGACCACAGAGGATAGCCCTGCTCAGAGGAACCGTTGTGTTCCAGTTCACCTCCCATTCAAAAATATGAAGGACGTCCCATCAGGCACAAATGCAACAGACTGCACATTCACTGGATAAACAGCCGTGTACAAACACTATACCTTTAGAGCAAATTCGAAGCACATTCTTCAGAGAATTCTGAACACTGTTGTTTGTTAAGGTTCACTGGGATTGTAACTCTTTGATGGGAAAGAATGTGTTTCAGATGTTCTTTAATGGCATAGGGTGTACATAGCCAGAGCAAGGGCAAAGCTGTTGCAGTGGCCAATTGGCTCAGATTCTAATAAGCAACTGGACTACATGGCCAGTGAGACAGCTGCAACTTGCTTCACACCTGTTGAGGGTTTAAAAAATGCCTTGCTAGAGTGTTCCTACACTGGATCTACAAAATTAGGCAGTGCTGATTCTGGAGATAATTAAAGCAAAGCTAACAAAAAGTAGTAAGGCATGTGTGAAGAGAAAGGTTTGTCATTCAAAGTTCATGACAAAGTCCTAAATGAACCAAGGTTGAATTAATTTTTCTCTGGTAGAGGGGACAAATCCTGCTGTAACAGATAAGTCTGTTGTTTGGGAATGAAAACTGATTTGCTCACCCAAGCAAGGGTTGAATCAGAAACTGAAGTGAGGTGACACACAGTCAGCAATCTCAATTAAAAATTGAAACAACACTCCTCTTTTGTTCTAAGATACTACGATTATACATCTCAAGTCCAAGACAAAGAATCATAGAATTGTAGAGTGGGAAGGGACCCTCAGGGTCATCTAGTCCAACCCCCTGCAAGACAGGAATCTCAACACGCTATCCAATTCCCCCATCCAATTCCTGGTCTGAAGGCATATGGTACAGTAACGTTACTGCAGCTAAGCAGATCTGAGTCTGGTCAGTGAAAGGATGGGGGATCCATGATGGAAGAAAGGCAAGTCATAACTGAGAAAACAAACAAATATCATGTAAATTGAAGTCATAATCTCTGGTGAAAAAATGCCATCTATTGAGTAACACCAGTAAGGAGATGTAGCTGTAACATCCCCCAGTGCCTTGTTAATGCAGATAAAGGTTGTTACCTCAAGATGATAACCCTGGAATCATTACCTCTAAATCTTTTTGGCTGTGTAAACAAGCCTTTAGAGGCCACAAACCATGGAGCCACTGGTGCTTTTCATAAACACTGGAGTTAAATGCTTCTGAGTAATGTCCAAATCGCTTTACTGTGCAGTGTTCACACCGATGCCCTGCTGAGAAGACAATATGGGCCAGGGCATTCTTTGTGTGGCCATGACCAGGGAAGGCTGCTTTTTTCATCCCACACCACAGGAGGTTTCCTTTACCCTAATGTTTATTTAATAGCTGAAACAACAATCTGTGGTTGGGCACATCTTCCCTTTAAAAAAAGAAGAAGATCCTTCCCTTTGGCAAGCGAGGTTCTCCCACTTCCCAGGATGATTTTCCCATACCACAGTGATTAGTAACAGCTGCTGGGCCATTTTGGTAACGACTGGAGTTTGGCAGAGAGGTATGTTGGGCTCCTGTACTCTAGCCCATCACATTTATAAGCCTACATTTTATTTTCAAGTTTATTGGCTTATTTGAGATTGGTTATTAGCTTCCCTTTCTCATTGTGGATGGCTTCTGTCTCCCATGTCCTTTCTGTGTCCAGGGTCACAAGCTGGAAGGATGGTGCCACCATCTTGAATACACAAAGCACCACATACACGCACGCACGCACGCACGCACGCATGCACACACAGAGTGAGATTTGTGTTGAAGATGGGCAAGTTCATGTAAGAGGCCATGTTTATATGCCATGTTCTATGCAAGGAAGCCCTGAACCCCAGTTCCCATGAGACACAAAAGCAGCCTGACATTTAAGGTGGCTTGTTCCCACTGCCAGGCTGGGGCAGGATGCGGCAGCGGGCTGGTGATTAGCCCCTGGGGCCTGATCTGCAGAGGAGACTGAGCGTTATCTATTGCAGCATGGTAGGAGTCATTAGTTAATAATTAATAAAGACCCTGCTATTGCTCTTCCCCATGCATGCAGCCTTAGCGGGCAAGGGCTAGGAGTAAGCTGTCTCCCCCTTTAACTGCCGTGGTTATTTAAAGGAATAATGCCATTCTTTTTCATTTGTCAGCTGGCCCACAATGGCCCTTGTCAGCCTTTATGATTTAGTGTTTCCTTTCCTTTCCCATTAAACGCCACCTCCCCCCCACCTCCCTGCCTCACGCCAGCCACAGGCTGCTCTCGGCCAGCTCCACTCCAAGACTAGCCTCGCTCTTTCCACAGGCTCCTCTGAGCGCTAATTGCTTCTGTTCATTTAAACCTGTTCGTTAATTTGCTGTGGCCCTTTATTAAGTTGGATGCAGCCCAAATTACACCATAAATTATGCGCACAAGGGAACCGGGTGTCACATGGGATAAATGACTTGGCTGTTGCCTCCCCCCCCCACTCCTCTTCCCTCCCATCTGAGAAGTGGCAGATTCTGGCTCGGTACTGGATCCTACATCGGTATGGATCTGGGAGGTCTTGGTCCAACCTGGATTCAGTAGGCCCCTCTTTTTATACCCTGTGGAAACTGGTTCCTTACACCTGTGTCCAATAATCCCCCTTGTTACACTGAGAAAAGACTCCAGGCTAAGCTGGGCCCTCTTTTCGAACCTTGAGGGGTGGTCTGTTGAGGTGCTGGGCGGTCCAAAACCTGGTTGTTCCCTGCTTCCTACTGTTCCCAGCCACCTGATGACATCACCTTGCTGCCATCGGCAGCCTGATCTCTTTCTTCACCTTTTAATGACCGGGGAATTCATTAATAATTGAAATAAACACGCTCTCTCCCAGGCTGCAGTTTTATTAAGGGAAGGCCAGGGATCTGCCAACCCTTGGCTGCAGCGATTTCCTAAATAACTGCTAGCAGTTAAAATGCAATTATTATTTAAAAAAAAACACAGAGGACTTTTGCTGCGCTGGTGAAAGCAGCAGCAGCAGGCAAGGGAGAGGCAGCCTCGGGGCAGGTGGCAGCCTCTGGGAGGTGGGCTGGTGGACGCCACCTTTGTGTCCACATGCTTAACCTCTTCTCTGCTGCACTGGGGAGGCAAGGATGTCTGAGAAAAGGAGGCTGCTGTTCATAGGAGTCACGAAAGGGGGAACCTGGAGAGGCAGTAATTCCCCACCGAAACTCTTTGGCAGTGTTGTTTTCCATATTGGTAAGATCACACATTTGTTTTGCAATCGATGAAAGCTGGGGGGAGGGGATCAGAGATTTCAAACCTTTCAATTTCATTTTCATTGGCAGGCTAGGTAAGCCAGTATGGAATTTACAGGTTAAGAGATAAAAATGCATGCCGGGAGTTTCGTGGAGGTTTCCCTGAAACCAGCAGCACCAGAGACATCAATGCAGGCAGGGCTGGCTACAGAGAGAAGCAGCCTGAGAGCTAGTGAAGTATTCCCAGTGTCCCCCACATCGGATTTAGGGCAGTGCCGGCAGTTCCCCCACAAAAGGGCAGCGAGCTGAGGGGGTGCAAAATTGAGAAGATCCATTTGGGGGCGCCAGAATTTGGGCTCGCTCAGGGCACCATATTACCAAAGATTACCTAATTCTGCCCCTGGTGTGTCAAAGTTGTTTTTTTTTAAAAGTGCCCTTGAGAAAGAATCCCCAAAAATGTGTTGCACTCACAATAAATCTTGTGTGGTATGATCAATCAGGAAAATAACATTGCCTGAGAGCCTTGGTGGGGAGTATTTTGCAACACCTAAAGTTTCCTCCCTCCTCCTTTTTGGTGGTGGGAGAAGCATCTCAGATTGATTGATTATTGGGACTGAAAACACATGTTCAAAAGAAGGCTACACAGATAGTTTAATGTTCTAAAAATCTGCAGTAAGAGTTAAACACTCCTCACCAAGGTATACAAGAACAAATTTATAGATTGCTCAGCTGGTACATGCCACACTGACAATAGAGGGATGGGACCCATGTTAGCTGTGTCTTGTGGTAGTATGTGGGTTGGTGAAGACCCTGGCTGTCCTTACCTGATGTTGAGCTGTGTTAACTTCTCCATTTCCTGCTCCATGTGTTCCTGCAGCTCACCCGGGCGAAGCAAGACCTGACAAATGGGGCAGATGGGAGCCTGGCTGTCAAAAAGTGTTGCCTTCTTTTTGCCTGTAATGGAACACAAGATAGAGTATTGAGTTTCAGGTACCCTCAAATCCATTCATTAGTACCATCCCACCACTCTTATAGCTTGGAAATAGAAAGTGTTTTAGAAAAACAACATCCCACAAATATCTGTAGCCTCAATTACTAGCTCAGTAGCCAATTTGTGTCTCTTCTACCCACTGGCTTTTCTGAATGCCGCTCCTTGTTTGTTTCAGGAATGAACTTGTAGGCCACACACCATTGGCTAAGTTCAGCAGAACTTTGGACCTATGTAATGGGCTGCAGCAGCTGGCCCTGGCTTAGGATTAGACCCTTATAAGCTTGGAAAGGGGTGACTGTGGGGAGGTGCTGAGGGAAGTTAGCTTGAAGAAATTAACTTCAGCTTCTTATCCTATAATTAAACATGGCTGAAGGAGGCAATTAAAGGGAGAGAAGGAGCACTTCTAGCAGCTAGGGGAAATTACTAGGACAGCCTCTTTCTGCACCATTGGTCAAGATGCAAGATGCCCCACCTCCTACTGCCATGAGACAGACAGACAGAGAGAGAGACAGAGAGAGAGAGAGAGAGAGAGATTGACTATGACTGCTGCTTACCTCTGCTTGAAGTGGCAGCAATAACGTATTTGCACTTTTCTAACGTTACCCATACACAGGCACTACAACAACTGAGGGCAACACCACATAATAATAATAATAATAATAATAATAATAATAATAATAATAATAATAATTTTTATTTATACCCCACCCTCCCCAGCCTATTTGCTTACATAAATATCACTTCCTTACAGAACTGTTGAGAGTACACAATGTATTTCTATAATGGGGTCCTTGGGCACACACCCAGTTCTTACATGGGAATTATATCCATGAAGGAAATTCATTTTGCATGAAACGGCCTTAAAAGTGAGAGAGTCTTACAACAGTATATTTTACTCAGTATCAATATTCTAACTCTTTGTCCCCAATCGCCCTGCTAGGAACCATGCCATTGATTTCTCTGGTTGGAACAACCTCAGAAGGCACTAAGCAGAGGCAGAAACAATGTGGTTTTAAAATAGACTTCTATCAAAAGTGCAAGTAAGGATTAAGTCATAGTAACCTTTCACGAGCAGAACTAAAGCACTTCTACCACTCAAGTTAGCACTCAAGCCATGTAAACAAACTTTCAGGGGAGAAACTGGATATACATGGCTCCTTGTAAGCTTGAGATGATTCAGAAAAGACAAGCAACTTCCTTGAATGGTTTGTCACATGTGTGTGTGTGTGTGTGTGTGTGTGTGTGTGTGTTGTTGATGAACAGGAGGGATACTGAAAACCTAAGAAATATACGGGTATTTTTGAAGGTCTCCCAAGCAGAAGAACATACCGTATTTGCTGTGAGTCCTGCAAGACCTGCTCCCTGCTTTGCTGGCCTGTTTCTACCTGGTCTGGGAGGGTGGGTCGCTGACTGACTCCAGCCACAGAAACAGCTGTTGCTACTAAAATGGTCAGAGACCATCTTAGCTGTGAATCCTGCAGGGCTGCTGCTCAAGATGCCTAGAGGCTATCAGGATGGAGAGTTTTTGCTGGAGTCAAGATTTCATTTTGGAAATGCTGTTACTGGTACAGAATAATGCTTTTGTCTCTTTACTGTTAGACCTTATTATGAATTATGTAGAGAGAAGAAGAAGAAGAGGAGTTTGGATTTGATATCCCGCCTTTCACTCCCTTTTAAGGAGTCTCAAAGCGGCTAACATTCTCCTTTCCCTTCCTCCCCCACAACAAACACTCTGTGAGGTGAGTGGGGCTGAGAGACTTCAAGGAAGTGTGACTGGCCCAAGGTCACCCAGCAGCTGCAAGTGGAGGAGCGGAGACACGAACCCGGTTCCCCAGATTAGGAGACTACCGCTCTTAACCACTACACCACACTGGCACCACACTTGTTTATTTTATTATATATGTATTAAGATGTTTTCATTTATTGCTTAGAACTTAAGTTTTGTTATATTTTTGTAATTATGTAAATCTTTTGATGTTGTAAGCCACCTTGAGTTTAACTGTAGAAAGGCGACATACAAATAAATGATTGTGATGAAATGTGATTTATTAGCACTAGAAATTATAGCAACCCTATTCGGCTTCTTCTTCTGGTACAAATTCAACCAGTCACAACCTCAAAAGATACTGAGAGCTCTGAACTAGCAGGGACAATGATTTCTGTACCATTTGAATCGCCTCAGAAAGACCTCCATGGCCTATTGCAGCACAACTGAATTTTGTTGAGAAGCAGGCAGCAGTTTGGTTTTCTATGTTCTACAGCTAGTTTCTTTCCCTGCTCAGAGATGTTACTACACTCTGCATTAGAATATGCAGCACCCTGCTAACGTATAAATATTTTTTAAAGGCAAACAACCAAGTGACCAAAGACATTATTAGACAGTTGCAGGGCTGCAAGCACGAGCTCCATAGCTGTGATAGCTGCTCTGGTCGTCAGAGGGCGTAGCACACCCAGATCTGATGGCTGCCGTGAAGGGAAGCATGCTTTATAGTTTCCTATTGTCATCTAATGTGAAGCGTTCCTGCTGGATTATTTATTTATGTATTAGACATGGATCAAATTGGTTAAATCCGCGCGAGAGGCAGTAATGTGCCATAAAGCAGGCTGCGTGCAATATGGCCTTCCAATCAAAAGCCAAAAGGTGCCATTTTATGGCCCCAAGCAAAAAGCACAGCCCAGTTAAATGAATCCCCTTGAAAGGAACAGACCTCCCAAAGGAAAAAATGTTGGCACAAGCACTTTGCCGGGGCTACATAAACAGGTGTAGGGGGGAGGCGCTTTAACAGGACTGAAATAAGTTTGGAAATAACCTTGACTCATCCTTGCCTTCAAATTATGCACAAGGCCATGCTTCAGGGGAGATGTCTTTCACCAGCAATGTCCTCACTATATAATACACTCACTAAGTGCACCACAGAACCCTTTATGGGAATTAGGGTTTTATTTCTCTCTATACATATTGAGGGCATTGAACTGAGGGCACCTTACTCAAGGCTTCTTCTCCCCCTGCTGTAAACTACCACACCATCATTCCCTTTTATAACTAAAGCTGCAAACGGTGTTTGAATTATCGGCGTTCAGGGGGGTGGAGGGGAGTAGTAGAAGTCTTATATCAGGATGGAGTGAAGGGGTGCTGTTATGAGGTAGCCCAAAGAACCTGAGTCCCAGGTCTTTTTTGTAGGCCCCTGGTTCCTCTGCCTCTTCCCCTCTCCTTTTCAAGGAACTCAATATGTTGTTTTTAATTTTGCATACTGACATGCTAAAAAGTGCATTGCCCATAAGACACCCCGGCTACATGCCATCTTGATTTGTCCAGTGACACTCACTTTAGACTGAATATGTACATAAGCAAACAAACAGGGTGGTGTAGTGGTTAGAGGGATGGACTAAGACCAGGGAGACCAGGCTTCAAATGGCCACTCAGCCATGAAGCTCACTGGATGAGCTCACTCTTAGTCTAGCCTACCCCACATGGTTGCTGTGAGGATAAAATAGGGAGGGAGAAGAACCATGTATGCCACCTTGAGCTCCTTGGAGGGGGCATAAATGTGATAAATATGCTGCAGTTCATGCCAGCAAATTACTCAGATTATTCTTATTCAGCCATTGTTAAACTCATCTTCCAGAACAGAGACAGATTGCTGGTCCTTTCTACCATCATCCCTGCTGTAAGCCCTGCTATATGGATCAGAAGGAGAACAACTGGCCTGTTTTGCAGTGCTCACTGTTGCTCCATCACACCCAGAGTGCTGCTGCTTTTCAATAATAGCCAGACCTAAACAATCCTCTCACATTGACTGGGAGGGTGAGCAACCCCAGCTTCCTCTTGGAGCCTTTCCACTTTTGTGTGGTCAAAGTCCAAAATAACCCCAGAAGGCCCCCCACTGGCTGCTATTTATAACTATAGTCCCATTAGTGTAACAATGCTGGTGTCTGAGACCTCCCTCCTAAAACAAACAGGCAGCCTCTGAGCAAACGGGAAATCCTGCTGGATCCCTGCTGCAGTCTGCATGGTTGGATGGGTAAACATGCAGGGTGATCTCGCTGTCCCCTTCCCACAGCACTGCAAGAGCATGAAATGCTCCTTGGAGCTGCTTCTCTGTCCATCACCACTAGATGTGACCCAGAGCCACGAAAGGACAATCAACTCAATGCTCTTCAACTTTAATGGGGTTTCTGTCCCATCTTTTTCTGGTGGTAATTTCTTCATTATTTTCCTTGTTTTGGCAGGGGGGAAAAAAAGATTTTAAATCGCTTGTAAGAAAACCCCACACACATTCTCAGCTGTTTAAAAAAATTAAAATACGAAACCAAGGTTTTGCCAAAAACTACAGTCACGCATGCTGATCATCTGATCGCCAGCAGAGGGCGGCATAGAAACAAAACTAGTTACTATATTAGTAACCCCTATGGGTGCCCATCGTTTGCTGGCCTAAGATTGAAATGGACTTTTCAGATCACTTAATTTATGTGACACTGGGAGGGAGAGATTGCAGACTCACTGTAGGAAAAAGGACCCATTTCAAGGGTACACTTGAAATCATTTCATCCAGAGGGTTGCCAGAGTGACTTTAGCACTGTGAGTCAACCAGCACCCAAGATAACATCTGCTCCTTACAGAGGCACCTCCTGCAGAACCCACCAGGTACAGTTTTCTGTTTCTTCCCAACTTACGCCTGTTGAAGGAAACAAGAAGGCAGCTGAGAGTGTGGTGCCAAGCAACCAACCACACCACCCGGTCTGTGCCAAGTCTGAGTATGCCATTGTGCCAGGAGCTCCCACGCCCCCATATTTCAGCCAAGGCTGCAGGCTTCAAATGGCCCCTTTCAAGCTTTGTTTTTGGCAGCTGTGTTTGTGTTTGCTTGGCCTCCCTGCCTGTCCTTCCCTTCCCTTTGGCCCCTTGTAACTCAGCAGGGTTCATCTCCAGTGTTTACCCTCCTTGGCACGGCTGTTCTCTCCCCTG